AACATATTGAAATATGATTCAAAGTTCCTTTCTTTTGCCAAGGTACACTTCAGCTCATTACTTGCAGCATAAGCAATTGTTGGGCCCAAAACCCAGCTTTCTTTCGCATGGGTAAGCTAGATTGATTGCAAAAGGCCTAAAACAATATCCTTGTTTGGTCCGATCCACCTTAAAAAAGATGAACCAAAACCGATCTTCAAACAACATGGGTTGAACTCTCATCTGGCCCAACCCGATGTCTAGGTGAATTAGAACCCGAACATTCTAGAAATTGTCCTAAGAACTCTAACAAATGTCACAAGAGAGAAGATGGGTCATTCTCTATCCACCCCCGGGAGCCTCGCTAACCACTCGATATTATTGGGCCCACCTATGTAACAGAAGAGGAATATGGCAAGTAAAACCAATTCTTATTTTACTTTTTACCAGTTATACAAGTGATTGATGTATTAGAGTGCCACTCATTCTTCAAGTGTCTTGTAGGAACAATATAAAAAAGTCATGTGTAAGTTGGGATGTTTAAACTTCAACTCCAAGTTTAAGAATATAGTTTTTACATGTCTACCAAAAGGTGGAAAGAAAGTTATGCAATCCATAACAAGATGCTATGCTTAGATTCTAGGCTTCATAAGAAGCTACTATGATTAAGATTATAACCAGGGCAAGCAATGGCTGAAGGTTTAAAAGTAAAAGAACAAAGAGCACACTGATACTTGCCTGATGTTTGAGATGGGAATATGGGTTGTGTTTTACATGAATTATCTTCATGCAAGCCCATTCTTGAATCTTTAAGAGAACAAGCTGGATGGAATTCAAAAGAACAGAAATGAAAAAACAATGAAAAGAGAAAGAAAAGGATACGTTAATATCAAAATTTGAAGCATACCATCATCTTCACTTCCAGCTTCAGTTTCAGTATCCGCTTCATCTTCACTAAAATCATATACCTTAGGCTTTATGTTTAACCATTTCTTCATCACAATGGAGGGCCAAAAGGCCTGCTTTGAAATGAAATTAAGAAGTTTGCTGTGAAGGAAATAGAATGTGATACATAAAGTCTGAAAGGTAAGTTACAGAGGCATGATGTTAAAGCTTACCTCTGATCTTCTTCCTCTCCTTGTTTTCATTGCCTCAGGTCTAAAGGTTATAATAACTCAATCAAAAAAGCTATTGTTGCTAGTGTCAGACTTTCAAAGCTCACTCTTAAATATGGAAAAGAGTCCCTAACATTTGTTAGGCCAATATTTGACAGTTAATATTTAAATAATAGTTCTTCTTCTCATGTTGTAATAATTAACTAAACAAAGATGTAGTTATTTCAATGCCCAATAAGAGAAGGGAAATCCTTATTAGGAACATATAGAAAAGGACAGAAAATGTTGTGACTACATCAGCAAGACATCCACCAACACAACTTGCATAGGGATAAAAAAATACTTCTGGTCCTTATTGCAGCACTTCTCAACTTTTCTCTCTTTTATTTTTATTTTGTAGCATATTTTCATATTTGGATAGTGTTAACTTGAGTGTAAAGTTATGTCTAAAATGATTATTCCAGAATTTAAATTTTGAGCACCTAAAGTTGTAAGGAAAGTTTCTCTTGAATTATAGTCTACTTCTACTACTATCAATTATTGATGGATCATGGATGCAGTTCTCCATTTTCTGATAATAAAAAACATGAAAAGATGTTCTTATATTAATTGAAAATTTTGTGAAACCAACAACACAGAATATCATTTTCAAGGGAACACAGACATTAGAATTTATGAAAGATAAGTCACTGAGGCAGAAGCACCAGCACACAGAACTGTTGTATCAATAGTATTCAGAGGGAGTAGGAAAGAAATTTACAAAAGAAAATAGTTTTTAAATTATTTTTTCATATTAAATCAAGCAAGTAGCTAATAAGAAACTAACTAAAATCAGTAAAAAATTCCAAATGGGTATTTTTTATTAATTATAAGAACAATAATGGAAATAATAATATAGCCTCCCTATAAGTGCAGATTTACTACAGCCACAAAATGCAGAGAGTAATACATCAGCATACACCAAAACTGATGAAGACTGGCAACACAAAAAGAAGGAGTAGATACCAAATAAAGTATATAGTAACATCCAAGATTTGTCAATGACCTCACAAATTGTAAAGTTTCTGTAGCAAGGAACGACCTTATATTAAACAAACAAACCATAGTTGAGACTTAATGCTTAGCTTAAATAGGTAATTAACCACTAAGTGTAATCTGATAAAGATTCATTATTTCAAATACAGCTGTAGACCCATTGCATAGAAAGGCTACCATATCCAAATCTTAATTTATTTTATTTTGGCCCATGCAAATATAGGTTTGGAGATAGATAGAAACCAATCCTAATCTCTAGAGTCTAGAGCTAGCATTAGGTTCTTAGTTAGTAGAGGTTCCCACACTTGGATATATTGATCATAGCCTTTACATTATTTCTTTGCTTTTCTTATTTGTATAGTTGTCTTTAATTAGTAATCTCATCAGATTTTAGATAATCGATTTTTGGACAAATCTGAATAGGTTCTTCTCCCATCATATGTCTTCTTGGCCATGATACAAAAATATAAAGTAAGATTAAATCATTATGACTTTTTACGGAGAAGATTGATGTATTTTAACTTGAGAAAAAGAAAAGTATTTATAAGAGTTCTGTATTGTTTACATTTTCATTGAATCAATCACCATTCATTTTTAATAATATTTACTATTAAACACAATTAATACAAATGAATCATATTGATTATGAATAAATTTTGAATTTAATATCTATGCACCGACAATGCAAACACACAGTTAATGCAACATCTACTATTTCTTTGAGTTACTTTTCTCGAAGAATCAATAATAATTAAATATGAATAATAAATAATTCATCACAGTGTATAAAACTCATATACTACTAGTGCATACATTTGTGAGATGTTCATATATATATATATATATATATATATATAAGTGAAGAATCACATTAATGAGTTTTAACATACATTTTCACCCAAGATCACAAGGTGACAAGGTATTAAGTCTATGTGTTTATTCATGTTAGTAATTGCTAACATGATCTCATCTCATTTTATGAACGATTAGGTTAGTAATGTGTACCCAATTATTTGGACAAAAATATCATTAGTTGTTCAATTAAAAATAAGGCATATGTCAAGGTTATTTTAGTAAACAACATATATTAAAATTAAAAAAATCACTATTCTCTCACTCTCAAACCCTTTAAACCTATCTCATTAACAATTTTACTCATAATGCACTCAACATATCTCAAATCTTTCTCTCAATTTCTTCAATACCATTTTCTTAAATCTCCTCCATCCCCATCAATTCTTAATCCCCTGCCCTCCCGGAGAAAAAATATTTCACCGTAAATAAAAGCACTCCCGTAACCACTCACTGTGGCCGCCATTGTCGGTTTGAAATATTTCACTGCCGCCACTACCCTTTTCTTAAATGTGGCTATCAAGGAACATTTTGGAAAATTTGATGATGTTTTGCAACCTGGATGTCACTGTTTGCCTTGGTGCCTTGGATACCAAATAGCTGGAGGACTTTCACTACGTGTGCAACAACTTGATGTTTACGGTGAAATATTGAACCGGCGGCAGCAGGTGGCTATGAGAGTGCTTGTGTTTATAGTAAAATATTTCTTTTCTATGAGTGCAGGGATTAAGAATGGATTGTGACGAAGGAGATTTAAGAAAAATATGTTGAAAAAATTGAGAAAGATTCAATGAAATATTAAGTGCATTAAGAGAGAAATTGTTAATGAGATAGGTTTAGAGGGTTTAGGACGAAGAAATAGTGATTTTTTAATTTTTTTAATTTTAGTAAAAGGTTATTTACAAAAATAACATTGACATTGACATGTGTCTTATTTTTAGTAAAGCAACTAAGGATATTTTTGTCCAAATAATTGGGTACACATTGCTAACATGATCTTTCATAAAATGAGGTGGGATCATGTTAGCAACTAAAAGGAAATAGATCCGAGAGAGTTTTACGTGGAGTATTTATTTAAATATAAAACTCAGTATAATACTCTCCCCAGATCTTGAAGATTAACCGAATTTTATGTCAAGGCTCTTCATAAAGTTTTATTAATGCTCAATATGGTTTTATGCAAATTAAGTTTCGTCTTTCGTCATCGATCGGTTAACTTTATAATACTCTTTATTATTGGAGTTATAATAGGATCAAATATAGAGAAACAGTTTAGAGTATAGGAATGAATTAAAACTAGTTTGAGGCCACACAGAGAACCCCATTATTGGTCCTTTAATTGAGGGGTTGTGGTCTAGTCTGGACAAGTAATGAGGATATGGTCCCTTGTTTATCTTAGGTTCATGTACCCCTCTTAAGTCATAATCAAACTCATGTACTATTGTTGACTCTCCTTATTCTCTAGGTGCTTTTATCTCTCATCCTATTGTCCACCTCTATTTAGAAGATCTTAATGACCTAGAACTAAACTAAACGAATGAGGATCATCTCCAGTATCGAAAGAAAAATATCTTAATTATGTATTTAAATCCAAAGTAAATATATCAACTAGCACACCATATGTGAATGTCATTACACAATAAGCATTCACCTCATCTAAGGACAATGTTGTGGGGTATAGAGAAGATTGGCATGAAGACTTTTATATTACTCTCCTTTGAACTTTCAACAGTATATTAGTTATAAATTAAGTGGGCAGATTAATGCAAGTAGCTGCTTTTAGTAAAAGTGAGATTGGTTGAGAAAAGTAAACAATTTCATCCTTCTAAATCTTATCAAGGCCACCATGTGGAATTAATGTGAATATCAACACAATAATATTATAATATATATTATTGTCTCCACTTATATATATATATATATAAGCAATAAAGTTTTTGTTTGAAGTAATGAAGAATGATTATAAAATAGGTGTGTGATGCTCTCCCATTTCCACCTTCCAGGGTTGGGGACAGGGAATGTGCGAGACAAGAAGGATTCACAACTGTTTAATCAAATAGGTGAATGATTTTGATTTCACTGGAGGTAACCTTTTATTTATTTATTTTGGATTTGATGTAGAACTTTTTAGGCAGTAATTCTCTATTACACTTATTATGCAGTAATTTAACCAAGTAATGCATTAAATTAATTCTAGTAAAAAATACTTAAACAAATTAATTTTTAATATATAACTGAATGGTAATATAAAAAGATAGTGAATAAGAAAAAATCATGGTGGTAGAGGCAACCCATTATGTTGGGGACATTTCCCGCATTAGACATGGATAAAACATACCATCCTAGTTCCTAGTCCTAGGTTGTATCATGTTCAAGAGAAGCCCTTTTCAAAATAATGCTACTTCTAACTTCTAACAACATTTGAATGCATCCAACTTAGGATTTGTCCACTCATTAACTTTCATTTTTAACAAACTTCTCTTCAATTTTATTAATAAGCCACTTAAACAGGAATTGAATTAATATTGGTTATTTTTACCGACCAAATTAATGAAAAAAGGACGAACACAATTTCATCTACGGATTATAAAACACCTTTTTCATTACATTATTTATTTGAGTATAATATCTATACAATCAGTGCATTATCCATTATTCATATATTACTTTTGTTTAAAAATATAATCAATAATGATTAAATAAACATGAATAATAAATGATGTAGTAACAATGTAAAAATCTCTTAGATTATCAATGTATACATCTTGTTTCTTTATTTATTTTTCATCAAAATCCAATTTTATTGGTTACACTTTGGCTATTGGAGTAAGGGTTTTGGTAGGTAGTTTATGTCATTATTTATTTCATCGCTTTCAAGATTTTCAATTCTCTTTTTCCATTTTTAAAAATCAACTCGATGGGGAACCTATACTAATGGAAGAATAATATCAATATGTAATCATTCTGCACAGTTAAAAATCCAAGGATTTTAGGGTTGGAATTTCAATGAGTGCTGTGAAGTTCACATAGCTGAAGAAAAAAACGAGAAGAGAGGTTGTGATTATTAACAATTAAATCAAAAGTGGATGACGACATGTTAAACACCGTGACGTATATATGAAGAAAATGAATGGCTGATATTTAACAAATAGGAGATGAGGATAAGCATTAAACATGTCACTTAATTTCATCAATTACCGACCAAATTATTAATAATTGTTAATCCCTATTAACTATTTCATTTAAACTTAAATTTGTTTCATATTCCCCAACAAAATATAGCCAAAGAAATTCATGAGCTAAAAAGTAACACGAATTATGAAATAAAATTTATGAGCATCTCTTATATAAAACATACTTCACTCACACTTGTTCCAAATCAAAATTCATATTATATTGTTTGGTCGACTAGGTCGTTATCATTTGGTTGTTAAAGCAGTAGGTAACATTTCCCATTAAAAAGTCAAAAAGCATTATACCTATTGTATGTGTATATGATGATGGTGTTGTCCAAACAAAAAGCTCTCAACATCTTTTTTTTAGCTGCTAGATCTCACCAAAAGTTTAGATTTTGACAACTCTTTTATTCTTCCCTTATAGGCAAGGTGTTACGGTACAAAACTTTGTCTACTAAATTTTTGGGGAAGAAAAGTTGGCGTCCAAATAGTTAGATCGTAGAGGTAACCTCTTTATATATGTTGGCAAAATACAAGGCAATGTACTAACAATAGTAGGGATAAGATGTCAAATTCATCTCTCGAAATATATAATTGATCTTTCCTACCCTTTATAGATGCATGTGGAGAGTGTCTCAAATTTAATGTTTCCCTATACCTAGCTAGCTTATTAATAAAAGGAAAAGTGTAACAATCCCCTTTAAAACTTAGAGGAAAAAAAAATATGTATAGAAAATGTATGAATTTATACATTATCATTGTATTATTTACCATTCATTTTTAATCATTATTGATTCTTACAACAAAAAAAAGTATTAACCTTATGAGCATAAATATTACACTCTTAACCTTATGAGCTTTAGCAAATTGACACTATGTTACAAAATGACGTGGACATATCTTCACCTTCCAACTTTTATCTTGATGTAGTTTCCTTGTTCAAACCCTATTTTTTTCAAAAAAAAAATGTTGATATAATTATAATAGTTTAAGGGTCAATTGATATGATTTAAAAGTTGAATGTACCAATTTGTAAATGGTCAAACATTTAACTAAGGTTTAATGCATTTCCCCTTGATAAAATTACATTATATGTTGGAAATAGTGTTAAGGGCGTAAAAGTAGTATTAACTATTAAGTACAACTGTCAAGATTTTCTGACAATTCAAAAACCCTAAATTTTGTTGTTTTATCTTTTGTTTTTAATTTACTTTTTATGATTTTCCTCGGATTTTTCTATGATTATTTTCCTTCTTAACGAGTTATTGTCAATTGATTTTTAATCCTTAATAAAATTTTCACTTCAAATAAAAGATAGATTCTTAGAGTATTAAAAATTATTTAACAATACTATAGGTTCAAAAATAAATATCGTTTAGAATTTTGTTATTTATTATTAAAAATAATTATCATATAAATAATTTGTATGCACATAAGGTCTGAAATGGGGTGAGACCCAATGAAAAACCTAGAGGCATCATCTAATAAGTAGAACCTTTAGCAGCTTTATGATCATAATTTGCCAAAGGATGCTACAACTTTTAAAAAATCTACTAGAAAATGAACACAATCAAACAAATTGATATTATCTTAGTTTCACTAATTATCATGGCCTGTGGTAATAACTAATAATGACAATTCAGACTAGTGATTTGTGACTTCATTTTGACAATAACAACGTGCATTTGGCATGCTTCTATGTCTTGTGTCCATCATGAAATACGCATTTGGTTACTAAGGACATTGAAATTGTTCTTCAAATGGGTGCATCAATTTCTTTTTCCATATTTGTCCCATCTGCTTTCAATCTATTCATGCAGTTGTCCTCCAATATTAGTTATCAACCTATGGCCAAAATAGAAAGAGCATTAGGACGGAAACCTATGCACTAAATTCAATAATTCAACTACAGACATGATAAACTTGGTTGAGTTTTGTGAATGGAAAAGATAAATATTGAAAGAGAATCTTCCTAGTTCAATTCAATTTTGTTGGGCTGGGTCTATTGTTACTTTTGAATATTGAAGGTCACAAATAAGAGAATATTTTTTGATTTACTAGAAAATGATGCTTTAAAATATGGATGTATCATTTGCCACAATACAATCTAGGCCATAACCACAAATTAAAATCTTGGTAAAGTAAAAGTTGTATTTGGTTAATGGAAGGAGACAATATGAGTAAAATACATCATGGAATCATGTACTCCTAAGATTTTATTAAATATGGTACATCATGAATGTGATATATCTTTGTTGAATGTGATCCGAACAAAAAGTAATAAAGTAGCTACTTAAAATACATTATTGTCAAACGTTGAAACTTGAAAGGAATGAATGTGATATATGAGAATATTAGGATTAGGATTTTGACTAGGATGATTGACTTGAACAAAAGAAAACTATAACTCCTAGCAAGATTACACTCCATTAAACAAAATAGTAACTTGCTTTTCCTAGTAGTAGGGTTGGAAAAAAAGTGTTCAATAGTAATTGGGGCCATAACATTATGCAGTTTAAAACCTTAACAAGTAGTGGTGTGTCGACATGAGTAATGGACGTACTTCATGGATAGCAGTTGTCATCATGAAAGTTATTAGTCTCTTGAACTGCATAAATGTTGTAGTCTTTAATAACAAGGAAGTGTGCATAGATGGCCTAGTGGATGAGATAAAGCTGAAGTCTTACATTTGGATTAAAGGTCGATAAAAACCTGTTATTATGTATTGGTTTGAATGAGTTTCTAACCCGGTTTTATGCTTGGATTGTTATCGTTGGTGTTTTTATTTTCTTATAGGCTGGAAGCTGGATTATGGTCTTTGTTCTCCTTTTGATTTTTGTTGAGTGGGTTTTGTAGGAGATATTTGTAGGTTTCCCTCTCTTTTTAGTTGTACTCTACAATTTCTTTCTGTATTTTTCTTTTTTTCCTTAATAAAATTTTGAAGTAATGGATATTTTATTATGGTAATCTCATTTCAATAGATATGATTAAATCACAAAAAGAGATAAATTTAATTCCCTAGAATCTACTAATGCAAAGTTGTTCCTTTAGAAAAAGACCAAAATGAAGTGTCATATTCTCCAACTAAAACTAAAAAAGATAGAGAGACCTAGCTACTTGTTCCATTCATGGACCACAGTAGGTTTTTCTCTCCACGCAAATAGAGTTATGGAGATTAGAAAATGACATGCACTTCTTCTGCCAAATAGTGATGAAATTATTTCACAACTAAGCAACCACTCATTTCTTAATTTGAGATATTTAATAATATCTCTATGTACGGATACAAGTGAGGAGAGAAATCATTTTTATTGATGCGTGTATGATGTATATATCATGCTTTATGCTTTTCTACTTTCCATTCGTTTAATCTCTCATGCTTCATTTGGAATTTAGTTTGCCGTGATAGTTTTTTAATGGTTCTTGTGCTACTTGGAAATATAAGAAATGTTAAATGCTCCTACTATTATTTCAGTTTACAAATAAATTTTTATATCCATAAGACCTTTACCATGACATGATTAATGGTTGAGGATCTGAAATAGGGAAAGAACATAACATTTTTTCTAGAAATTTTCTTAGAATATTTATCTACTTCTTAGGACTACCGAATTATGAATAACCCATGATGTACACATGTTGTTCTATTAGCTACAAAAGAACTAGATCCCATTAATTAGGACATTAACCTCTTAGGACATTATTCATCACCTTTAATTTATAGATACTTAACATAGGAGATTGAGGAAATCATAATACAAACATTCATGAACTCTATAACGGATTCTAAGAGGTCTTCCCTTTTGGTAATCAATAATATCCTTCACTTTTTCGTGAACCATTAACTTATTGAAAAGATTTTTGTTATGCACGCAACTAACTTTTCTTATTTTGTTTAAAAATACGTCCACTTGTTTTGTTTATGTTTTTTGGATGCTAGCAACCCACACGTAAATACAGAATAATAAACTTGCAGGTTTTGGACAATGATAGGCTCCAAAAGTAATGGAGATCACATGTCCTAAAATGATGTCTCAACCATGTCTCAACCAATAACATTGTGTCACGTCATTTAAAAATCTACATCACTCTTCACTAAAAAAATATATGTGACTTTTTATTTCCATTCTTGATTGGCTGAAACAGGATTGTGGACATCATTTTGGGACAGGTGATCCCCATCCCAAAAGGGAATCAATCACTTAGATCGAAAGCTCGCAGCTTGGTGCCAAAATTGAAACGAAATATATATATACATAAGAATTGAATTTATGTAACATTTGTGCAAGGGTTGAATTATTTAGTTCTGGGGAGATTGATTTAACATTGTAGGGGTCAACAATAAAGATTGGAGGATAATATACAACTTATGAGCTTTGTCTACCATTAGTATTTGTATTGTTTTTAGCTCATAACACATGATATTTTTTTTGGGGCTTTTCAACTCTTCTTATCTAGAAGGAAGATACCTTCCAAATTTGATGCTAAGTTAGATTGATTAATGAAATCCCATTATTTATCACACAATAATGATGTATAAGAACAAAAAAACAAATGGAAGCAGACTAATGAGTTGTTGTTTAAGTGATATATGTTTCAATTTCCTCAAGTAAGGATTCAAACTTGAGTCTTGTATTCCGAGAAAATTCTCTTTAAAAATTGATCCCACCATATTATGTATATCCTCCCTTGAACATTTACCATCAGAAGAAATTATGTATATCATCGCTTGAACATCTACCACTCTTAATAGTCATATATACAAATAATTTTCTACATATATTATATATTGAGATTTAATTCCTACCTTATCCAAATGCTTGCTTATAAAGCATAGAATAATAAAATTTGTGAAATATGATCCATTTTATTTATTTAGAATAAAAAAAGCTGGTTTTTTTCCTTCTAATTTTATAGTCTACAAATAAAATTATTGCACCGGTTACGAGGCTGTGTAAGTTTTAACCCATCAAAATGAAGAAAACTCAACAAAATGCTCAGGCACTCAGTGGCAAAATCCACTCAAAAAGGCTAAGGACTCATTGTCATCTTAAAAGCCCAGCAATTCGAACCTAACGACACAGTCTATAGATATTTATTTGAAGCCCATCAACTTTTATGTCTCTCTTTTATCTATCAACTTATTGTTTAGTCTATCTTTGACCTTAGCCCATCATATATATTTTATCAAATCCTACTTCCTTAACCATGTATGTATACATAAAAGATAAAAAATGAAACATAATAACTTTGTATGTGAGATGATACACTTGTCAAAGAATGGTGGTCAAGTAAAAGCATTCTGGCAAACTCCATCTACAACCCTAACCTTGTAAGTGAATTTCTATGGACATAATTTACTTTTATTATGACCTTAAATAAACTAAATCAATTCGACATCGTTCGAAAGTCTACTCATTATTTAAGTCAATAAACTTAGTTCATGAAAGAAACAAATTGAAATTAAGATAAAAATTAAACTCATTAGATTAATGAGTCGACTCATTATGTTTATAGATTAACTCGATTGTATATATACATTTAAATAATTGGGGAGAAATCAACTTATTCCAATAGTAAGTGAAAAAGTCCTACTTACTTCACATTATAATCATTCATTTTTTGGAAATCCAATGGTTTGAATTGGTGAATACATCTAAACCATTGGATTTTCCAACATTATATGGCTAAGATGATGAGTAAATATTTTTCACTTAGTAAGTGGATTCCTCCTCTAAATAAATAATGTATTTACCCATTCATTCAGGAAGCAGTTTACTTTGATAATGACCAGCCAATGTTGAGTAACATGCAGTAAACTAGAACTATTTTTGTTTGATGCATGACTCTCCTTCATTGTTGGGAAGGCAAAAAAAGGTAAAGTGATGGCTTTACAATCTACTCAACTCTGAATGTAGCAAACACGTGAAGAAATTCATTGAAGCATCCGTCAACGTTTTAAACTCAACTTTATTCACAATTATTTACAAACATTATCCTATCCTACCCTTTCCATTATTAGATACTTCCAACTTAACCCCTTCCAGCAACAACACCAAGAAAGACCCTTTTATCAAAAGGTAAATTCGTGTCACCAAAAGGTACCACATTTACAACCCATAATAACCCCACCATACATCATATCCCCATCACAAGTTTATTATGTACTAGCATATATTATTCTATTTACGCCCACAAAGTATTGTACCATGCATCAACAAATGCGTGGAGTTTTCAATCGCCTATGTTGCCAGCCAGGTTTCCTGCACTACATTAAAATATGTGACCGTTTTTGTACATTTATTTTTTCTTGTGTTTTTGGCATGTGCCCAAGGATAGGATCAATGTCTACTTGGAATTTTGCATCATCTTATGTTATGGCCTCACATACAAGGAAGACACTTAGACACTTCAAAGTTGTGTTGGTAGGGACCAAATAATAGAAAATAAATGGCGCCCCTACTCGTCATCTCACTCCAATCTAATAGTTAGAACTTACTTGATAAAATTGTGAAACAAAATACATACAAAAGGACCAGCTATACAGTTTGGTCACCATCAAAATCTGTTCTATAACTTATGTCACTCCTTGTTGCAAAGACTATGATTTGTAAAAACATATATTAAGTTATTGGATATGTAATAGATTATAATTTCAATTTAATCAAGTCCAAAAAAGGGGAGTGACAATCTATTGCACTTGTGGTATGTAATGTTATTGTTAAGTTGTTGAATATGTAATAGATAAAAAGTCACTCCCTTTAGAATGTGTGATATATCAAGTCAAAAAAATAATTTGAATTATAATCTTACTACATATCCAAAGAACTAATAATTTTTTTGACTAATCATAGGTGTGACATAAATTGTGTGACAGAGGATGTTATTCGGTCGGAACCACTCTTTAGTGGCCATGTCTACTGGGGTTAGAACCCTTGGTGCAAGGAGGAATGCTGGAAATGCCTTGCATGGTAAGCTCAGTTACCACACTATCTGTGGAAGGAGGTTTTAGGCCTAAAGGCAAGGGTAGCCATGGGTTGGTTAATGCCTCTTTCACAACCTTGTCAATGATATCCTCTGCCTGCATGCATTGAACACACTGTAATTAAGAGTTCATAGGGAGTTTGAACTTTGAACCATTAGATATTTGTGTAGAAGTTCAAGCAAGTGTAATTAAATGGTGAGAACTTTGTAGATGTGAGGACGAGGAGTTGTACTCTGTCTAATTAGACACCATAAACTTCTAAATTGTGGCATTTACAACCACGGTTCTCATAAAATACAAGCTTAGTAAGAATATTGAAATACACTGTACTTCTTGGTGTGTGTCACAATATGTGTTGCAATTCAATCAAGCAAATAAAAAGTACTGAAGTTATCAAACCATGGCATGGACATAAGCTAAGGGCCAAAGGGAATGTAGGAAAAAGTGACTTGTCAGTTGCCAAACTATTAAGTGGAAAGAAACTTAGATAAGTATTGCATAAGAAACATAAAGGAAAGTATTACATTACCGGATAATGTTCAAAGGATCTTTGTGGCAAGTGAAACTTGTAGTCCAATGCAGGCATATTCTGTGGTTTGGTTAGAAGATCTTATTAGGATCACTCAGGTAAACTATGAAAACTATGATAGGAGGCATCAGCATTGTGCAATGCAGGCATATTCTTATGGAGGAAAGGTTACATTAAACGTTAACACAAAAAAAAAGATAGAATCGAAACTATGATTTCAAGTGTGCTGATACTCACTTGAGGTTGAGGGTGGGAAAAGAAAGGAGTTTGTGGAGGTGGTAAGACTGGGCAACCCCATGCATCTGCATGCATCTGAAACATCAAGCACCTGCATGTTAGACTGCATTCACAACTTTACATCCACATTACTTTTGCTTTATTATTTTATATACCATTATAGATGGAAATGACACAATAAGTAGATAAGTGTTTTTAAGATGTGTGTTTTATACTGTTCTTACAGTAATTTTATATCTGTTA